AAAATATCTAGCCTCAATAACATTTCTTTGTCATAAGGATCATCAGCATCAGAAAATATTTTACTTCCTTATAAGAGTGTTTCTATCCGCCCCTAAAATGAATATCGGCCGGGCTCTTGTGTTTATGTGATCATTAGTATGACTGACATAACGACTTCCAGCTCAAACACAGCAGCTCTTACTGTTCATACAGCCGTTGTCCTCTCATGAAGATCTTAACTTCTAAATTGAAGGGAATAGTGCCATCATCCTTCCGGAAACGGTACAGCAGTTTGGCATCCTTGAACAATGACCTCTTATCACAGACTAAGAAAAGTAAACACAAAGTTTCAAATAACACCTGAAAGTTGTACTGTGTCTAAAATGTATAGAATCAGATATAGATTTCTCTTTGCTGCAGCTCTTTGCCCCCTCTTACCGTGATGAACAATGTCATTGTCCATGAGGTACTGCATGAGACAGACAGCTGTTGCTCTATCTGGAGCTTCCTTATGGCCCACCAGCCAGTCTATTAGCTCCTGTGCGACGAAACAGTTGGGATACGTGCGCAGGTGGTAGCGTCGCTCCTTGATCTGTTTTCCATCGTGAAGTCTCAACCTTGAAATTAAGTTCCAATTCACCATAATCTTAATTTAACAACAGCCACACGTGTGAATTTAAATTTCAAATCTCAAATTAGAATTTTACACATTTTACATGTTTATATTTTCAGTTCCTCTTCCCCCTCTGCTCATACCTGAGTTGTTCTCCAGCAATCATGACTTCAGCCTTGTGTTGTCTACCCATGGCTTTTCTCCTAATGCTACTTGTTCGCTCCATGTTTGTTATCTCTGGATGAGAGAGTAAGTGAAAATCACTTTTAGTTGTGCCCCTTTGTGTTTACAAAATAGCCTCCGAAACACACAGAGCCCTGTTGTCATGTGGGATAGATGTTGTGTATACAAAAAGAGAGATGAACGTATGTGTTGCCTCTCTGCTGAGATACGTGATACCACAGAATCTAGTTATCCTGGTTGAACACTGTCCCGTAACTTCAATGTTTAAATTCATCTTTTTCTATTTTTTCTTATCTGAAGCGGTCACTCAATTTCTCTTCTGGGCTTTTGTAACAGTACGTACTATGGCGTCCTAGACGTCGCCCTGTTGTCCAGTACTTTCATGTCTTATCATCTTGAAAGCATCAAATGAAAGACTGTTGAAATCCACATGATAGCCCTTTGATGATTGCCTTCATGGTGCTAATTAGCCAGTGACAGTCAGTTAATGGATGCATTGATGTAGGCTGGGCTTTCTGACACTGGGTTTGAAGGGCTTGTTTGTTTGTTTAAGTGTAAGACTCTGCACAGAAATTACTTCAGAAAATTTGTGCAATTATTTCTGAAAATGTCAAAAACAGATCCCGGGATTATCCAGGTTGTTACAGGGAGTCACAGCTTTGTAAAAGACACTGTTGTGTGTCAGCCTGTCAGCGCCAGACAAATCTGAATATGGTCACATTAAAAGTGGAAAATAAGGCGGCATTGTATGATTTTTTTCTTTCGGCAGCAGAATGTCATGTCAGTGACAGTACTCGTTGTGTGGTGTTTATTCTCAGAGTCAGTGTTGTAACCAGTGACAGCGCAGGTTACGTAAGTGTGCCTCGTGAATACAAAAAAAGCCTTCTGTCTTAAGGTCAACCTCTCAAGCAGCACCTCCGCTCAGGCTGCATGTCAATCTTGGTTCAATAGAACTGTAAGAACTACAGCCCAACTTTAGCTCTAACCTTAAAGGACACTTTAAGTGATATTCTGTATTTTTGTTATTGTCAATAAATCCTATTAACAGACTAAAACAGGAAATAAATTGATCCTACTATCAAGTGTTTTCTATGTAGCCAAATATACTGTAGTTCAGCTATTAAGGACACATGAATGGGACTTACCTTTATACAGGGTCTGTGTGTGTCCTCATCACACACACACACACACACACACACACACACTGTTGTTTATTGTCTCTTAGTCCCACATACACTGTCTTTCTGTTGAAAATACTCTCAAACAAATAAACTCTTTATTCATGATTAAGTAACATTCTCTGAAGACCACAGTGCCCCGCTGTTTTAAAAATGGAAGCTTATATCTGTGACAACCTTTATTAGAGACAAATAAGCTTTTGGGCTCAACGCTACAGACAGAGGAAGGATGGACGGATTTGGAGACTGATGCATAGTAGATTTTTCATCTTTCTGTGGTATTTATTGACAAAAATAAACAGTATTTCCATCCTTGCTGGATTATCCTTGAATTACCAGGTACATAGATTTTGTGGATTGTGGGGCGGCTGTGGCTCAGGGTGTAGAGCGGGTTGTCTTTTAACAGAGAGGTGGTTCTATCCCAGTCTTCCCCATTCCACATGCGGAAGTGTTGTTTGGCAAGATACTAAAGGCTGACATAGAAAAAGTGTGTGTATGTGGATGGGTACTGTAAAGCGCTTTGAGCGATCATTAAGAATATCTCTATGTAAATACAGACCACGTAACATTTACCACATGTCTTACCCGAGCTTATTGAGCTGTTGATGTTTAGATAATGACCTAACATTAGCTCACTATATTGGTCATATGCAAACGTTACAGGTTGGTGTATTTTACTCAAATACAAAGAAATAGACAACAAATGTACTCAGGTAAGAGTCAAAGTACCACATTGACTTTTATACTTGTGTAAAGTATTGCTTTTCCTTGAAATATACTTTATAAAAATATGAACAACTAATGCAATGCTTTGTAAAAAAAATAGTGGAGTAGAAAGTACAGATATTTGTTGATATATGCAGTTGAAAAAAAGTCAAACGTGCCTAAAAAAATAAATACATGAAAAATAAAAAAAAGTACAGTAACAAAACAATAGTACTTTGTTCCATCCCACCACTGGTTGTATGGACAAAGGTGTCTGGTTATAGGCTGGTGTATGGAAATAAAGCTTTGTGTAGGAGGTGTGACTGTTTTTGCACAAGCGTGTTGTGGTGAAATATGATCTTCTGTCTGCTGGTGATGTGCACTTAGGCTGTTAGCATCGTATCATTAACATAAGTTATACCACATACCGTGACCTTGCCCTGCTGGCACACATCCTAGTGTATGTCCCTGAGCCATCCTCACTCAGTCACACTGTCTCCTCTTTTCCGCTCTTCCCATCATCGAGAGCTGCACAAAACAATTCCTCGCAATTCTCAAGCAGCAATTCCTATTGGTTTTGGCTGGAGTCCTCTCTCTTGTCTGTGAGGCCTTCACTATGTTTGGAGTAAGCACTGCCCGAGAGGGTCACCTCAGGGCAGGAAGGCTGCTTAACTATTTGAGATCCGGTACAATTTTGTCGCCTCTACTCACCACTAGTAGTGACAACCCTGAATCACACAGGAGACCCTGATATGGAGGGGGGCCTGAAACATGTCACAAATGTTTAAGGTGTCAGAGCTGTGCTGCTGAGCTGCTCTGATAAAACCTGTAGCCGCTTCTGTGGCTGTTGGGGCTCAGGGTCAACTGCTGTAAAATCAACAAGTGTCAAAAGACTCTCCCACACACGTTTCACACAGTATGTAGTCCTACAGAGCTACAGAGGTCATCACATCAGAACTGTGAAAACAGGGATGACAGAGCGGTTAGAGAAATCTATATTTATACATTCAAAGTAATAATGATATAATTAAAATGAAGGAAAACCGAACATGGAGGGAGCAAGAGGGCCCTGTGATGTGATGACAGTGACTTCTGGTGAATGCTCAATTTGTTCATTTATCAAAGACAAGCTTGGCTAAACAAATACAATTTCTCCCACTTGCAGTTACTGCTATGGTGTAGCCTTCAGAGACTCCTGTATTGTGGACTGGCGGCCACAAGGTGTCAGTATTTACCTGCTGACTAAGGAAGGGACACACTCAAACGCAGTAGGTGTGAAATGATTTGTCTTGCAGCCTGGTTTCTGTTGTTGACGTGAAATATTGTAGTCGTGGCAGCCTGTTTATCACCACAGATAATACAAATACATATAAAACAAATGGGAGTCAAACAACAATCCCAATTGTATTTAATTATAAAACAAAAATAATAATGATGATGATAATACATATAGATTTGTGGCAAACTAATGAACCATATACATTTACTGTGAATTCACTTAAAATAACAAAACAAAAATTTGACTGGACCTTTGGAAATTGAAAAACAACTTCTAGATAAATATACTATCGTGTAAAACACTGAGGACCGGTGAAATAAGAGAAAACGCTTTAGGAAAGAGAATGTGAGCCTCTGTGCATTTATAGGTTTCGGTCAAACGATCCTCGCGAGCAGCTCGTGGAGATAGACTTGCAGCAGCCTTTATGCAAATCATCCTCGTTACCGTGTTTTCATTGGAGAGCAGCGTGGAGGTGTAGTCTGGAAGGCGTGACATCATGCAAATGCAGCTTTATGAAATAAGTGCGCTCCTCCTGAACAGCCAGAGCATCAGTGGACTTTTTACTTTGTGGCTCCTGACGTCGAGAGGGCTGCGCGCTGCAGAGTGTCCACTCGGCACAATTTGACAGGCTGTGGAGCGTTTTTTTCCGCTCGCATGTCGTTTTATTCCTCCTGAGCTGAAGTCGAAGTTCGGAATTACTGCATTTTTTCCAAAGTGAGTGCACCTTCGCTGACTGCATGAAAAAGCAGTGGACTTCTGGAGCTCTGTGATTTAACATGACCGCCGAGGCGCATTCACATTTGGGACTGCAGAAAACACCCATGGATTTCGTCAGCGACTTCGACCTAATGAAGTTCGGTGTAAAGAAGGAGGCGATGCAGGGGGTGGACCGCTCCTTCATCGGGCCGTGCAACCAGCTCCAGAGACCAGACTCTGTCTCCTCTACCCCCGGCAGCACCCCTTGCAACTCGGTGCCCTCCTCGCCAAATCTCAATCCAAACGAGCAGAGAAATAACCCCGGGGGTGAGCAGTTCTGGATACCTAACAACGGGGGTTACCCCCAGCAAATGTACCCACAAGCGTTTGGCCTTACACCCGAGGACGCAGTGGAGGCCCTCATCGGCGCCACGGCGCAGCAGGGACACCCGGCTGCGCCCCACGGCCACCATCCGCCACCTTTCCAAGCCGAATACGAAGGGTACGGCAACCTGAACGAGTCTGTCCAGCACTATCCGGGACTGACAGGTCACCCCGACATGCAAAGCATACCCGGTAGCCACTGCCAAGACCCCTATCTCAAAGACGAGCTGGAGGGCGCGGACCCCCAGTCGCCCGAGGACCCGCAGGTCTACGGTGCGCACCATCACCTCCAGCAGCCGCACAGCCGCCACGACAGGCGATCCAACGCCGACGTCCACTTCTCAGACGACCAGCTGGTGTCCATGTCCGTCAGGGAGCTGAACCGACTCCTCAGAGGCCTCGGCAAGGACGAGGTGATGCGTCTGAAGCAGAAGCGCCGGACCCTGAAAAACAGAGGTTACGCACAGTCCTGCCGCTACAAGCGCGTCCAGCAGAAACACGTCCTGGAGCATGAAAAGACCAGCCTGGTGTCACAGGTCGAGCAGCTCAAACACGAACTCAACAGACTGATGCGGGAGAGGGACGCATATAAAATGAAATGTGAGAAACTGTCCGGTGCCAACTGCTACCACGAAACAGGGTCCACCAGTGACAACCCTTCCTCACCCGAGTATTTAATGTGAGTTTGTTCCTTTCCTGCAGAACTGAGTCTTTTCCACAGGGAGGCATTTATGTTGACAGCTGCCCTGCTCCTTGACACACAGCCCCGTGGATGCATCGAGTTTTAATTCATGTTGGAC